GATATTTTATTGGTGTCATAAAACTGCTCTTTTTTAAGTAAATAAAAACTAAAACTTTTGTAATTGTATTATGGATAAGTACAGTTAAACAATAAAAGGATTATAAATATATATAGTAAAATAATGCTTTTACTTTTACCAGTACTTTTACCTGAACAGTGTTAAAACTCGTTTTGGTAAAGAGATGAATTTGTTGCCGCCTACAGTATATACAGTACAGTACATAGAAATGCAAGGAATTTTAATCTTTACCGACAGAAACAATATACTTTTAATTTTAAGTAGTAACATGTATGTAATATTAAATAATGATTTTCTTAGTATCAGTAAAAAAAAAAAAAAATTACAAATTGTTGAACGTTAAAAGTGCCGTGTTTTGCAAAATAAACATTTATTACAGAGTAATATGCAAAGAAATACAGACAGAGACATGAGTAGAAATAGAGTAGAAATGCATAGATACAAGCAGCAAACTTCCTTCCGCCTAATCCCATCTTCTTTGACGACAATATACAGCGGACAGATCAAGTGAAGTATCTCGAATCACACTTGACAAAAAACTCACTTTTCGGCAACATTTACATGAAACTGTCAGGAAATTCAATAGCTACTATGCGTCCTCTCCTCAGCAGACACTGCAATCTGACTATGAACAATAAACTTGTTTTATACAAGTCCATTCTTAGACCTACTTTACTTTACTCCAGTCTGGTATGGGGACAAGCCGCTAAAACCCACATAAAAAAGATCCAAGTTATTCAAAATAAAACCCTTCGTGAAATTATTAACGCACCCTGGTTCATCCCAAATTCATATACTCACAGAGATGTTCAAATTGATACTAAACAAAATTATATCAAAAAACTTGCAACAGATTTTTTTCCTTTCTGTAGTATTATAACCAAACACCTATATCAATTCTTTGCAATGACCACCTTTTCCTAGAGAAAAACACAAATATCCTTTGGATATTTTTACCTAACATTTTGTTAATTATTTGAAGTACTTACTACCTTACTGATCTAACTTTTTTTTCACATTGCTTGTCTATTTTCATTCATTACACCTTTCTTTGCCAACTGATGGCAGCTAAGTGAAATTCTACCATCTCAATTCTTCTTATCATCCTTTTGTTGTTCCAGACATTCTTTTATCTGACGCAGAGTAAAAGCACGCTGTCACACTCTTTCCATTCAACACAAGTCAAGATACAAGCAGATCCCTGTTTTAACAAATCATAAACAAATAGAATGGGATTAAGTTTCGGAATACTTCGGACCTGACAGAAAGCTAATGCATTGGACGTGACAGAAAGCTATACTTCCTTTTAACCAATAAGAATGTGATTACTAATATCTCAACACAAATTTAGTCGAAATTTTAGCAAGATTTTGGTAAAAATGGTTAATATTATTGGAGTTACAGGCGCGAATACACACATATTCTAGAATAGTATTTTCTATTTTTTTTTCTAGAATAGTAATCATGCTGAAAAACAAAAGATCAACCGTTTGAAGTCATTTCGTCAAGGCAGACCAAAATTACGCATGCTGCAATGAATGCAATAAAAAAATTTCCATTTTAAATGGAAATACGTCAACAATGTGTCGTTACCTAAGCAGTATTCATAACACTGACGGTTGACAAAGCAGAGGCAGAAACGACAGCTAAAAAAACAAAAACTTTGGATAATTTCATAATCAAAACATCAATTGAAGAAATTGTTGCAAAAAAAGCTGCAGTAGATGGTTTATCATGGTCTTGGCGTTAAAACAAATTGAAGTGGCACTTAACGCTATGGATGAAAAACAAGCCACTTTACAAGCAGCATATATTTCTCTCAACTTTATGTGACAGAAGTTAACTGAACAAGAATCTGAAATAAGTACCATATTTGACAGCATATAAGACACAATTTTTTTCCTAAATTTGGACTCAAAAAAGTTACGTGCGCCTTATACGTGAAGGACACAGGTTAACTTTTAATACTGAATGCTATTTTTACCCTGGATAAAGGTCTAGACACACATAACTTTTTCTACATCTGCCATAGTTATTTTGCGTGAAATATGTCGTCAAAACGCGCCAAAGCTCGAAGCTGATATCGAAGTTCGAACAGGTTCGATGGTCACATTACGTCTATGGAGCCTTTCCTTCTTTACATAGACTTTCTTTGACTAAGCCGACACAAGTGTCGGTATTGGTGCTACTCTGTATAAACATGTCGGTATCGGTGCTTAAAATTATTTGTTTAAAAAAAATACCCTGGAAAATATGACTACAGGAAACAAGAGATTAAGCTATACAATTCAGTATAAACTAGGAGTGTTAAACTACGCCAAAGTGCATGCAAACAGAGCAGCAGCAAGGCATTTCGGTCCACCACCTACCGAAAAAATGATATGTACTTGGCGACTGCAGGAAGATCAACTGAAGACTGATAAAAAACTAAAACATAACCTTCGATGCCCAGCTCCATCTCGGCCTGAACTTGAAAATGCCGTAAAAATGTGGGTGATAGATAAGAGGAAATCTGGGATAAGTGTTTCAACCAAAATGATAATCAATGAGGCCAAAGGATTTGTAGAAAAACATGGGAATCGGAACTTTTCAGGGGCTGAGGGCTGGTGCTACAGGTTCATGAAAAGGCAAGGCTTATCAATGCACACAAAAACAACTTATTGCACAGAAAATGCAGCAGCAAAGAATTATGAAGAAAAAATACTAGCATTTCATAGGTTTGTTATAAATACACGCAAGAAAACTTCTTTTGAGCTCGGTCATAGGAAATATGGATGAAATTCCACTCACATTTGATGTACCCTCCAACAAGACTGTGAATATTAAAGAGTCTTAATCAATAACCATAAAAACCGTAGGTCATGAAAAAACCCGATATACGGTAGTTCTAACGTGTTGTGCTGATGGCACAAAACTACCGCCGTTTTTCATATTCAAAAGAAAAACTTCCAACGGGTGTAATTGTTCATGTTCATCCGAAAGGCTGGATGGACGAAGCTGGAATGAAACTGTGGTTACAGAACGTATGGGCGAGGCGACCTGGTGGACTCTTAAGAAAACCCTCTCTTTTGGTTTTGGATCAGTTTAGTGCCCATAGAACTGAAACCATAAAGAATAAAGCGAGAGAATTAAAAACCCAGATAGCTGTCATTTCTGGTGGACTGACTAGCCAAATTGCAGCCTTTACATGTATCGGTGAATAAGCCATTTAAAGAAAAAGTGCGAGAACAATGGAACAAGTAGATAGGAGAGCAACATCACGCCCTCAGGTAGAATGAAGCGGCCCTCTATTTCACAAGTGTGCGAGTGAGTAAAATGACCTTGGGAGGACATAAAGGCTGAAGTAATTGCTAATTCCTTTAAGAAGTGCAGAATCAGTAATGCTCTTGATGGAACAGAAGACGACGCATTATTCGAAGAAGGTGATACTAGCGATGATGGAAACAGTGGGGATGACGATACTCTCGTGTTCGATGATGATGATAGTGAAAAAGATTTTTATGGTATTGAATGTGATTAAAGTCTAATTTCATGATAGGCAACGTTTTCCTTGAATCTGTGTTTTTCGTTGTTTCTGTTTTATTTTGTATTATGTTTGATTGCTTGCCGATCATTCATTTATTCATTATTGAAATTTACATATCATGTTCAAAATAGCTTGCCGTTTGTTAATTTTCCTTAATAAAAATATGTTTGGTAATTGCATACAATGATTGTTTATTTGGCTTTTACGAAACTTGAAAAGAAACCACATTTTAAGTTATTGTGGTACTGCGCTATCGCACGGACTATTGAAACTTTTTTTCCTTGTGTGTAGCGTTCTAAATAAGGGTCCGTCTTATATGCCATCAAACACGGTAGTTCTCTTTCTGAAAATATTGTTTTTTACATCAATAGCAGGATCAACAAAGGAACATCATAGATTTAATGAATTCACTAAACAACTTAAATAAAACGCCATCAAAAGCTTCTATAGAACTAGCAACTGCTCTGATGAAGAGTTTATTTCCGTCACCAGATTCATCACTAAATTCAGCAAATGAAAAATCAAGCAGTGTTTTTTTTTTTTTTTTTTTTTTTTTTTTTTTTTTTTTTTTTTTTTTCTTTTTTTTTTTTTTTTTTTTTTTTTTTTTTCTGAAAACAACTACCAAAGAAGTTAGAGTACTATTAGAAGCTCCAACCAGCAAACTACCAGAAGGTGACCGCTTTAAAAAATTAAGTCAAGAATTTACTTTGTGAAAAAGTAATGGTGAATTGACTGTAAATTTAAAGCGGTTACTTGAAGCTATTTACAGTATAAAACCAACGTTGATTGATTCTGAGAGGGCATTTTCTGTGGCCAACAATTTTTGCACCAAAATTAGGTTGAGCTATTAGATAAATCACTACATGTACTGGTGTTTTAAAAATATTTTTTCATTAATAAAAATGTATAAAAAAATGTTTAATTTTCTAAAAAATATTATTTTAATTATAAGTCCACTATAAGTCTTTTGATAATGCAAGTATGTCAACTTCAAATGCTCGAAAGCCCGAAAAAACAATCGAGCTCGAGCTTAACCGAGCTTCAAATCATCAAACCAAAAATACCTACCCTAATCAGATTACCAAACACTAATCAGGTATAATGTCAAACTAACTTATGAGCAGCATGGGGTAGTGCATCACGCCAGTGAAGAGGACTAAAAACCATACGCAGTTCACTAACTGCTTTGCTGCACTGTTTTTAAGATCATGCATATCTTTAATATACTTTTTTCTGTATCTATTAAATTTCACTTTGGCTAAAGCCTCCTTCCTGGTAAGATGATTTCACTGCCTACAAGTGTACTTAATCATTAGTAAGACATGTGATGTACAAAGAAACATAAAATAAAAATATAAAAGTAGCTCTAAACAATGATTTAGAGCTACTTTTATATTAGCTTCATCTATAACACCATATATATTATATATTAAGAATTAAAATGGTTATTTACATTTATTAATAAACTGACAGCATCAGTACTTCCACACTTTGAAGCAAGGATAAGTGCAGTCTGGCCTTGAATGTTCTGCACATCAGTTGATGCTCCTTCTTCTAGAAGCAACAAAATCACTTTCAAATTGGCACAGGAAGCAGCATACATAAGTGGAGTCCACACTTCTTTATTTTTTTGATTTATAAGAGACTTATTATCTGTACTGGAAAAAAAAAAAAAAAAAAAAAAAATATGGTAAACAACAAAGAATTTCTCTAAAATATCTTTACAGTCTGTAAAATTACAATTTTAATGATTATTTTTTTGTGTTTAGTTATTTACACTAAAATTAGAGGAATAAAGTAATGACGAATAAAAAATGGGTTAATATTAAGACAGCATCATATATGCCCCCCCCCAAAAAAAACATTAACTACTGTATTTTTCAGTTCTAAGATGTATCATTTTCCTCATATTAAGGTCACTAAAAAGAGGACGATCTTAGAACCAAAGCTTTTCCCAAAATAGGCTGGTTATCATTCATAAGAAAAAAATCACATAAATGGCAATTACTCAGAAAGTTACATGTAGTCAACGAAACTGACCCTCAGTATACAATACATGGTAAGGTATAAAAACTACCATACAATTATGGTGTTACAGAAATTAGCATATATATAAAATGAACAAAATCAAATGTGTCAGTTTGGTATAGGAAAATTACTTTCAATATGGAGAATGATCGGGGAAAGTGCAGAATCACCCACTGCTTCGCACGCTTCTCAAAATCGCCAACTTGAAAATAACAAGTGAAAGAATTGCACAAACTCGGTATCCATGTACACATCGATCTTTTTTCACTTAAAAAAAATCAGAGAATTGCACGAACTTGGCATTGTGCACTATCTTGACTTTGTCCATGTACACAGCGATACGCGCCATATAAGTAGGCATTTCTGCACTTGGTTAGAGTTGACTTTAGGGTAACCTTTGTATTATCGCAAAGTTGCTGTTTCATTGTGTGTTGTGTGAAATAGTGAAAGTGTGCGTGCCGCGTAATGAAGATTCTGAAGATTAGGTAAGTTAGTATTTTTAATCATTTGAGGATATTATTTTTATGCATTGTTGTTTCATTTATGGTAACCTGAGTAGTTGAATGTTATGGAAACCCTATTATGGTGTAATCATTGCAGTAAATTCGTAAGGGCTTGTGGTTGTGTGTGTGTTGGTTAGGAAGTATATTGCTTGTTTCGTGGTTTAGATGGTAAAATGGCCGAATGTGGTAAGATTAATTTGAAGTTTCTATACGATTTGGAAAGAAAGGAGAAAAGAGCATTACTTGACTGGAGTGTAAATGAAGGTTTACTTAGTAACCATTATAAGGCGTCCTGTTTGTAGGAAGGAAATGCATTTGGTCGAACGTCGTTATGAAGGATATTTTTTACTCTTATTTTATGAATTTATGTAATGACGCCAGTATACAGATTCTAGTTCAGATAATTTTAGGAAGTTTTTGGATGCTGTTAAGGAATTTTCTTTGACTGAAGAGGTGTGAATTCATAAATAAGGCAAGTGGATATTTCTTTTGTGTAGTGCAAAGATGAATTTCCTTTTTCATGTTATTTCAGTGTTTGAGTTAAAATGTAATTTATTGAGATTATATATTTTTTTGTCGGCTGCTTCTTTGATTTTTGAAGTGCATATAGTTCGATGTGTACATGGACAAACTCAAGGGAGTGCAAAAAGCCTAGTTTGTGCAATTCTCTGATTTTTTTTTATTAAAGAAAACAGGTCAATGTGTACATGGATAAAGTCAATTGAGTGTGAAATGCCATTTTTATGCAATTGTGGGATATTTTTTTAAGTGAAAATAGGTTGATGTATACATAGATATCGAGTTTGTGCAATTTTTGCGCCAAAAATCGGCACTACGCAAGCCAAAATAACAAGTCAAAGAATTGCACAAACTTGGTATCCATGTGTCGCCAAGGGGTATATCACCTACAATTGATTTAACAGCTGATCTTTGGAATATGGTAACTGGTAGTTTGGCGACATTTTGGAGGCGATAAAGGTTACTACCTAGGACTTTGGTAATAATGTGAGAAGTACTCAGTTCCCATTACGCATTATTTTGTGTGAGGGAAACGAGAGATCATGAGATATGCCATGTGACATTAATGGACGAATTACAGTTCTTTAATCGGAAAAGGGAAAATTTGGAAAACTGTAGTACTATATTATTTTGTATTAAGCTTCATTGTGTGTTGTGTGAAAATAGTGAAAGTGTGCGTGCCACGTAATGAAGATTCTGAAGATTAGGTAAGTTAGTATTTTTATCATTTGAGGATATTATTTTTATGCATTGTTTTCTAAATGTAAGGAGTAAATAAATTAATATATTATTGGAAAATTGTTATTAGCAATGATTTAGTTTAAAGTAATTAGGATTGTAATCTAATTTTTATTAATTTAATGTATGTGCTTATTTATATTTTAAGTAGTGTTTTTTAATTTAATTATATTTAATTTAATGATCGTGATTTTGTGAGTTATATATTTGTAGTATTTTGGAATACGTTTGAGTAGTATTTGTTGAGTATTTTCATGCATTTTCGTGAAATATTTCTAATTTATGACAAAAAAAGCAGTGTACATGGATATAGTGAAGAGTGTGCACAATGCCAATTTTGTGCAATTCTGGGATGATTTTTTTTAAGTAAAATAAGTCGACGTGTACATGGTTTAGTGATATTTTAATTAAATGATAGTTATTTTGTGAATTTTATGTTTGTAGGAATTTGGTATACGTTTCAGTTGAAGTAAACGTGCATGGAAGTAATTTAAATATTTGACACAAAATATTTGTAACCATTTGTAATGTTTGCGGTATGAATTCATTGGTGACGTTTATAATATAATAGATAATTTAGAGGTAAAAGTTTTTGGATATTTTATTTATTTTATATGTGGAAATGTTCATCTTTGGAAAGGGTATATACTTTTTGCAATCAGGTAATTTCATATATGTCCTTGGAACTACTCTGATATGTGCCCTCAAGTCGCCAAATATTTTGGTCAGAAACTTCACGCTGCCATATTACTATCTAAATTTTTTGTCTACATTTTGAACTTTTAGCCTAAAATGTCTCCAAAAACGCGGTTTTCGCACATGCAAAAACTATGTTTTGAACACACAATTTAGCTAAAAATCTGAAACAAAAACAAAAAATTTAGATAGCAAAAACGTAAAGTTTCTAACTAAAAATATTTGACAAGAATCCATGTACACAGCGATGTTTTTAACTTAAAAAAACATCTACGAATTGCACAATGTAGGCAAACGAACGAATCTACAAACTACGCACACCTCGCTTTAATAAATTAAACATAACAACAATAAATTTCAAAGAATACCATGTACACAGCATCTGTTTAAACTTAAAAAAAATTCTACGAATTGCACAATTTAGGCAAGGAAGGAATCTACGATCTACGCACTCCTCGCTTTAATAAATAACATAACAACAAAAATTTCAAATAATACCATGTACACAGCGTTCTGTTTCAACTTTAAAAATCATCTACAAATTGTACAGTCTAGACACTAAACAACAAAATAAACTAAAATAAATTTCAAACAATTTAAAAAAAACAACAATAATGGAAGAAATTCATACTAAAGAACCAATGAACATAACATTTAACAAAATAAGAACAAGGATAAAATAAAATGCACTTACCATGAATTAATGCGTTTTCAAATAGCAGAAATATAAATTTCATACCGCCATGTAATCACTATTGTATTTACATGACAGTCAGACACACTATCCAGAAAATTTATACTATGGTTCACAAATAAATAAAATCACAAATCCCTACTTCTATTATGCACTGCCATTAAAAATAATCTCTCAGACCCTCTTTCTACACTTCCAAATACCCACTACCCCTCAACAGGACAGGCCACAATGATTATTCCTTTTGCTGAAACTTCAATTCAACAACCTCCACCATTTTATCTTTCCCTCCCCTATCTTCTCAGACACAGAGCACAACCAGATGCAAACCAACAAGCTCCAGCGAAAGATTTTTCAACGTCAACACGGGTTGCCATAGAACACGCAATCGCGCCAAAAACCAGCGCAGAACACATATCGCCACATTTGGTGAAATTAGGGTGTATATTAAAGTTGTACTATGTCCTTTTTACCGGATTTAAAGATTCACAAAATTTTCATGCATTTTCGTGAAATTTTTCTAATTTATGAGAAAAAAGCAGTGTACATGGATATAGTGAAGAGTGTGCGCAATGCCATTTTTGGGCAATTCTGGGATGTTTTTTAAAGTAAAAATAAGTCGACGTGTAAATGGTTTATGTGTATGTGCTATTCTGAAAAACGCGCAAGGAGTTTGCTATTGTGTACTTTTTCCTAATTTTGCAGTTAATATTTGTCATGATTAAGCAGTTTTGTTATATAAAATTTCTAGCATAAGCGTAATTCGACTAGTAGATTGTTGCAAAAAGTATTCAGTAAATAAAAAGAAAAGAAACATGTCTTTATTTCGTGAAGACAAAATGGTGGCGAAAAAAAAATAGATTGTTGCTGTAGCAGAGTTGGTAGCCAACAAATCGCCAAGTTACCATAATCCAAAGATCAACCGATTTAACTGCTTGCAGCAAGGCTGATTTTTCATGAACAGGTCTACTGCCATTCGATGATCATTTCATGTTCAAAATCATTAAGCTGTGTTGACTTACTCATCGCTCTGTTATTGTGTATAACCTTCTTTAACTACCATCACTTTGCCGTCATTTGATGACATCCCAGATGGCAAATACAGCCACATTCATTTCTCTGAAGAGGTATCTGGACACTTTTGGGCTATAGTATAGAATTGGGTGCCCCTTCGATTAGCGACAATTTTTTTAAAATTTTGGCGATGAAACCTCACTTCTGGTTACCATGATAGTTTTACTTTTTGATTTTATTTAAATGAAAATAGATTGATTTGTACATGGACAAATTTAAGGAAGTGCACAATGCCTGGTTTGTGCAATTCTAGGATTTTTTTTTAAAGTGAAAACAGATTGATATGTACATGGACACAGAGTTTGTGCAATTCTTTGACTTCATATTTTGGTTTTGTGTAGTGGCCATCTTGAAATTGTGCCTTCCTGGCGCCGATCTTGGCTTCAAAAAAGAATTGCCAAAAAACAAGGGACACCCAATTGTAAACTTTTACCCACTTTTGGGTACACAGTACATTTAATATTGATAAAAGAAAGGCTATTTGATTTCCAAGAAATAAATGCTTACACATTAATGTTCCTAAATTATAATACTTCTACAAAAAATTAAGTAAGCTTTTCTACATAAACACACTTTTGATATTTCAGGAATTACAAATATACAAAATAACTGAAACATTTCATTTTAAATTTTCTCAGGACTAAATATAGAATAAAAATTTATAAGAAGATAAGTTGCTGCAATATGCCGGCCAGAAAGTACTAAGAATAAGTATACTACCATTAGATGTGAAATAAATCCCAGTTTCTTGTGGTAAAGTGCAGAATAGCCCACTTATTTGTTTTGCACTTTTTACAAGAGTAAGAATAATTGTATTTTTGTCAATTTCCTTCGACCTTTTTAAGTGAAAATAGGTTAATGTGTACATGGATAAAGTCAAGGGAATGAGCAACGCCATTTTGTGCAATTCGGGGATATTTTTTTTAAGTGAAACTAGGTCGATGTGTACATGGATAGCGAGTATATGTCATTCTTAAAAGCGCACCAAGCAGTGGGAGATTCTGCACTTTCACCGTTTCTTGAATCTGATTATTAAACAGTTTTCAAATTCTTTAATGCGAAAATATTTAAGGGGAAAAGAAAAGGAATAACACTTTAAAATTATTTTTTAATTTAAACTTTTAAAAAAAATTTGGCACAGCTTTAGTATTAGTCCTTTTTGGCGAGAAATTTGTTTGGCGACATTTTGGAGCGATAAATGAAAAATTATGATAACCTTCGTAACCCTAAATACTGAGCTTCAAACATGCCGCCATTTAACGAATTTGATAGGTATCAGAGCTTTGATGGCAGGAGGGATAAATTTTGTGTTTTTCTTAAAGTTACTTTTGTGTTAGGAAAGCACAACATTTAAAATATTTTTTAAAAAGCCAAATTTTTGATAGTTAAAACTGGTGCTTTTAATATTACATCACATGAGTCTTGACATTTTTTCATATGTCAACTCTGCATATTATTATAAACGCCCCCCCCCTCAAGGAAAAAAAACCAACAAACACATTTCAGTAGCATGAGGTAAACTCTTGATGTTTCCTTTGCTAAGGAGATCACAATTACCATGGTCTAAAAATACTTGTATACCTCATATTAGAACTATAGGGATGTGTAATTGCATGAATTCATAGGTTCAAATCAGGTTTCATTATTGCTTTTATAACATTTTCATAATTTGTCTGACTATAAAAAATATAATGTTGCTTAGATTATGGAATATATTGCTTATAATTTAGAGTTCTCAAATTTTGTAAATCTTACCAACCTAACAGCTGTATATGAATAACCTTCCTGAGTATTATTACTTTCATTAATAGTATGTTGACATAACAGTCGACTTTTTATTTTAAATTTTATGCAAATTTTCTACATTACTTTAAACATTTTATCCAACAGAAATCTGAATTTTTTGTAATAAAAAACTCTATAATAAAAGTAAGAGTACAATTTATGTATAAAAATTTGACTACATGGCAAGCACTTAGATACTGATTTCAAGTCTTTAAATGTTATTATCATAAAGTTTTAGATGTACAAACAGAAGGCACACTTTGTACTTACGACTCGGTCAACCACTTGTGGCAAGATAACTTATGATAACAATTAAGTTCAATGTAAAATTTAAATTCAAATAAATTTGTAGCCCAAAGCTGCACAAATCAATTTAATGCAAAGTTGGTTAAAAACTTAACTGGCATGGAATTCAACTATCAGCAATTATAATGCAAGGCTGAAGACTACAAATCTTTTCTTATCTAGCAACCTATTAATGTGGCCTCAAAAGGCAAAACACGGTTGTTTTACAAAATAAAAACTTCATTTGGATTCTGGTGAGAAAACGGATCGAGGAAATTGACAGTAAAGATCCCAAGAATAAAAATAACTCTGGTTACAAAATAAAGGAACGTTACATATACTTTGTTCCCTGATTAATTATTTAGTACATGAAATAGTGTAATGCATTTTTGTTTGCATCACATACAAATTATTTAGTTTATTTAATGCTTTCCAAAACTGACAGGATTTAGCAAACATATTGACCATATTTTTTGACCTATAGATGCAACACTTCTTTCTTTCAGAAGTAAGATTTAGAATTAAGAAATAAGAAAATAAGAGAGAATTATGAATAGAAAATAAATACATATGCTGGCTAGCAGTAGAAGGATGCCTTCATAAAGTACTTTTTAAGAGAAACTGGCTCAGATTCCCATTACATCTACGGAAAACTACTAAAACTCCCATATAGCCAGCCTGAACTACCACTGTTCAGTGGCTATCACTCCACCACTAGTGGATTCCAAGGACTGTTCGAATTTTTCACAGAAATCATCATTTACGATGATTGTTGTATTATTACCATTGGTACAAAATTTACTCATTATGATAATTTAATTTTAGCTTTTAAATTATAATCATAAATTACTTGTAATAAATTGAGGGATTAAAAAATACACATTTCTTAATATTTTTACCATTTACAATATTTAATCATAAAAAATATTTCTGGTACAAAACTTGCCCATTATAATTGAATTTGATTTCCTTCACTTTGAAATATTTTTTTATTTTCTTTTAATAACAGAATCTAAGAAACTAAAGTAACATATACTAGTTTGAAATGCATTTATTAACCTTTTGTAAATTTCATTATTCATAAACATAAAAATTAACCTTTTGTAAATTTAAAATATTAGCTAAGTACTAATATAATAAAACATAAATATGAACTAACTACTTAAAATATTAATGTTTAATACATTATATTTTGTAATTAAAAAACAACATTTTTAATTACATTTTGTAAATTTTTAAAATTATTAAATAAAAACATTTTGTAAATTTCATTACTCATAACATAATAATTGTCATAATTCATTTACAGTAGTGTTTCAAGAATTTATCATAGCAGTACTAGAAATACTGAAAATTAGAGAAAGACTGTTTATTCTGATTAAGAGCTTATTTTTTAGGATTGTTATTTAGTCTAGATCGGGTTTTGTTGACAATCCGCCATTTTTTTCCGATCTTCAAAACCGGGTCTACCTTGGCGACCGAAGTTTGTCGCCAAAAGGACCAATACTAAAATCAGTCCTTTTTTAGCGACATTTGAGCGCAATAAATAAAAAATTATGATAACCTTGTTATTTATGGTAACCCTAAATACTGTGCTGAAAAAACATGCCGCCATTTCTGTTCACGTAACTTTAAGGAATTTGGTAGGTATCAAAGCTTTGATGGAGGGAGGGATAAATTGCATGTTTTTCTTAAAGTTACTTTCGTGTTAGGAAAGCACAAATTTACAAAATTAAAAAAACATATTTACATTATCGCTAATCTGATTCAAAGTCAAATATATTGGTACACAATTAAGAATTGACTAATGTACAACTGTCTGTTACAAATTAATATAGAAAAATGTATTGAGAAATAAATACTTTTCGATTATATCCCTAATACGCTCATCATTACCAACGCTAGCAGCTGTGTGCAAATCCATTACGCAATCATCAGATTCTGGAAACAAACTTAAAAAAAGTTTCAAATCCATAGCAAAAGCTAATAGAATACAAACAATTCCCAACTGTTCAAAAACTCAAATAGTCAATATACGACTTTTAAAGTTCTTCACTTCATTTCGCTTCACCATCCTCCTTGAAAATAAGAGTCTGTGTTCTCGATTTAAAAAAAAAAAAAAAAAAAAAATCTGAAAAGTTTCAGATTTTAAATTACGTCCAAAGGGACTTTTTTTAACGTTTTGTGTGTTACCTTTTATTTATTAAATATCATGTTGTTTGCATTTAAACCATAAAATTCAGTTCAGTAGCAACATTTAAACCATAAAATTCAGTTCAGTAGCAATGTCGCAAAATAATTTTAAAATGACCATATCCTTAGAATTTCCCAAGGAGGTTAGAATAGCCTCCTTGGACCTCCCATTCTAACCGCCTTGAAATTTCCGATACACAGTTCCGCACCCGGTGGAGATAAAAGGAGTTTGCACAAGTACGGCAAACGCGAAATGTGTATGGGAAAATGTACTTTGCCGTGATTGGTTGGAGGGTTGTCATTTTTACGCCAACTGAACACTCGCGCCAAATATGTAAATGTGATAGTTCGACCGTCTGAAGCGCAACCCTGTTTGGTATTCTGCCAAAACACATAGACTCACCCAAAAGGGGCGGTATTACTTGCTGCGAAGTGAAAGATCTTCCCTTCTCCAGAAAGAGCTATGCCGGAGGAAAAGAAATTCCTCATTCTTCCACCCTATTTTGAGAATAATTCGGTCCGAATGGTGCACGCGTGTTTGCGCTCATGGTCGCGGATGAGGCGGTCTAACTATAAAAATACAAATCGTATTTTCGTCGGTCCGCCATTTTCGTCGGTTTGATTGGAGGTTGTTACAGAGAACACAGAAAATATATTCAAAACAGTTCATTCAATTACGGGCTGCTTCTACCCGAGGCTGGGTGCATTATGAATAAAGACAAAAATTATTAATAAGCCATTCTTTATTTTCATCAAAACAGTTTTACGCTTCTAAGATCAGCTTTCGTTCTGTGTACAAGCAAAACATTGAAACACTCAGCACGCAGACTGACGTCACGAAAAGCAGCGCCTCGCGCCAGTTATTACTTCAGTTCACTTTACAACATCCTCCCTTCCCTTGAGACTCAGGTTCAGTCTCAAGCTCATAACAAACATTATTTAAAAGATCCAGTCTTTTTGGAGCTCTTACAAGTCGTCCAGAGGAGGAATATTGTTGCATTACCATTTTATCAGGTGCAACTCCCCTTTTTAACCCTTTAACTGTTTAAGATGTGTTTAACGTTTTCAGAGTTTCCTTTAAAAATGCTTAAGACGTCTTTACACGAATTTCAAATCGCACGAAAAATGTTTAAGACATGTATACACGAAGCCCAAATTTGGCCAAAATTGCTTAGGACGTGTTTAGACAATGCGCTCTGGTGTTCTTTCCCCTAACTTTCTGCAGGCGATTGTCAGTTGACACAAAGCGCTTAATGGGGTGTGAAGTCTCTTTGAAAAGAGCACTTTACGAAAAGAGTCCTGAGATTGAAGAATCACTGTCAGACAGCAGGTGTATATTATCTTTCTGACGACTGCAGCTGGGAATGAAAATAATCGTTTTACAACAGGTTGCCTTGTTTTATACAAATGAAAGTCAAAGAACCGCTCGTTGTTATAGTCATTACCGAAATTAAAAGAAACTGTTTATATGTAACTGTATCTATTATTATCTTTAACTATAACTGTAATATAGTAATAGATGAGCAATGTAGAATAAACGATGTTTGTGTACATCTTGTAATCATCACTGAGCACGTACCCAACACATATAAATACAACACATGGCGCAGCCCGTGATTGATTAAAAAGAAAATCTTTTTTGAAGAACCATGCAGCCTCGGAAAGATTTCTAAACAAAAACATCATGGGACGTTTGTTTACTGTGAAATCGAAACTATATCGCTGGTAAGTGAGTTGTTATTTTTTTTTGGAAGTGGCTAAAAATACGTATATATAAACTATTTAAGTCCTAAATTAAATATGGATGGATTAAAGCCATCAAGTAATCTAAGTTTCGAAGGAAATTTAAACGAAATGGAAGAAATGGAAACAAAAAAATTCCAAATTTATATGTTAGCGTCTGGTGGTATTACTAAATCACTGAAATTAAAAGTAGCTATTTTATTGCATATTTGGTGAAGAAGCACTTGAAAAATTTAATACTTTAATTTAAGTGAAGAAGATAAGAAGGATGTTGACAAAGTAATTGAAGCTTTCGAAAATTTTTGCATACCGAAAGCAAACGAAAGTGTTGATAGACATATTTTCCTGTCGAACACAATGTAGGTGAATCGTTTGACGATTTCTTAACTGATTAAAGAAATTAAGTAGCACTGTGGATTTGCAGAATTAAAAGATAGTTTAATAAGGGATAGAATAGTAAGTGGATTCTAAATAAAAATCTCAAAGATAGATTATTAAGGGAAGATCAGTTAAGATTGGAGAAATGTATTAAATGTGTAAAGCTTCTGAATTAGCAGAACTTCAGCTGAAAACTTTAAACTGAAGAAAATAAATGAAGCTATCAAACGTAATAATTTCGACCTTCAGAGGAAAAAAGTCAGCCTTGGAAGAAAGACTTTCATGTAAAACAAAAGCAACAAAGTACTAAATCTTCTTCAAACTATCAAGGAAAATAAGTATTAGTAATCCAAAAACCATGTAGAAAATGTGGAACTTTTCATAAGTTATACAACTGTCCTGCTTATAATAAGATTTGCTTGTACTGTAAAAAGAAAAAATCACTTTTCTAAATGTTGCACTTTTAAAAATGTTAATGTTGTACAGAATAATTTAGAGCATGAGTTACATAATAATGGTAATGAATATATTTTAGGGTCAGTAGAAGATCAAATCCATTTTCTAAAAATAAAGCCAATGGTTTGAAAAACTAAAAGTAAACATATCTAAATATTTATTGTTAGTTGGATACTGGAGCTCAGTGTAATGTGCTACCATTGCCTAAATTTAAACAATTAATTTAAGAGAGAATGAAAGTTTGACTAAATCAAAGTCACTTTAAATAATTACAATGGTACTACAATTGATGTAGTTGGAAAATGTAAATTATTATGTGAAACATCGAAAGGGGACAAGGATGAAAAGAATTTCAAGTCGTAGCGTGTGATAAAAATGTTCCAGCTATTTTAGGTTTACTACATTGCAAAAATTAACCTAATCAAAGGATTTGTACAGTAAATCCTGATTCTAATGAAAAATTACCAGAAACTTTTAAAGGATATCAAGATTTGTTTAAAGGAACTGGGAATTTAACTGGATATACATATCATATTAAATTAAAACCAGGAGTTGTTGGTAAAATAGAACCCTGTAGGAAAATTCCACTTTAGCTTATTAAATCCCATTAAAAAAGGAATTAGCAAGAATGGAAAAAGATGGTATTATAAAAGTTAACTAACCAACAGAATTCGTGAATTCATTAGTGGTAATACGGAAAAAGGATGGTAATTTAAGAGTGTGTTTAGATCCTCAGCACCTTAACCAAAATATACTGAGAGAAAACATTATCACAACGAACCTTTGAAGAAAATTTCATCTCAAATGACAAATGCAAAGGTCTTTAGTATTTTAGATGCAACAAAGCATTTTGGCAAATAAAACTGTCAGATTCAAGTTGTGAATTTACTACATTTAACACTCCGTTTGGTAGATATTGTTTTTGAGGTTGCCATATGGACTGAGTTTCATCACCAGAAGTTTTCCACAGAAGTTTTTCTGAAATTTTTAGTGATTTAGAAGAGTTCAAATATATATAGATGACTTATTAGTTTTTGGGGTAAAGAAATAAAAAAAGAACATGATTTAAGATTAAAGAAGTTTTTGGACAGAGCCAGAGAAAAGAATGTTAAATTTAATTTAAATAAATGTAAATTTGGGTTGAATGAAGTGAATATATGGGACATATATTTTCTAAAGATGGTTTAAAACCAGATGAAGACAAAGTTAAGGCTATTCTAGATATAAAACCACCAAAAAATGTGAAAGAATTAGAAACTTTCCTAGGAATGAATTACATTGTTTCTAGATTTATACCTCATGTATCAGAAATTGACATCATGTTTAAGAGATTTGTTGAAAAAACAAGTATCTGGAACTGGAATGCAACACATGAAAAAGCATTTAGAAGACTAAAAGATGTCTTGGTAAATAAACCATTCTACAGTATTATGATATAAACTGCCAGTAGTTTTATCTGTAGATGCATCTCAGAAGGACTAGGAGCAGTCTTACTGCAGATAATTTACCCAGTGGCATATGCATATAAGGCATTAACAGATACACAGAAGAATTATGCTCTAATTGAAAAGGAAACTTTAGCTATTGTATTTGCGTGTGAGAAATTTCACTAATATATATTTGGAAAAAAATATTACTGTGGAAAGTGATCATAAACCACTGGAATCAAGTTTTTAAAAAGCCATTAAATAAATGCCTGTAAGACTACAAAGAATGCGTATAAGATTTACAGCCATATCAGTTTGAGATAAAATATAAACCAGGAAAAGAACTTTTTATAGCGGATGCATTATCAAGATCATTCACTGATAAAGGATCTGATTTCTTTGAAGGAGAAATAGAAGCTCATGTTAGATTAGTTTGTAGAATGTATACCAATGTCTAATGGTAAAAATGGAAGTTTTTCAACTGGAAAACAGAAAAAGATGAAGAACTACAAGTTTTAAGAAAATTAATTAAAACTGGATGGCCAGATGAAAAAATGTATGGTTCCAGAACTGGCAAAACCATATTTTAACTTCAGAGAAGAACTATCAGAAGCAAATGGATTAATATTTAAAAGTTCCTGTGTTGTTGTACCAAGAAGTTTACGAAAAGATATGTCAAGCAGAATTCATTATGGTCATTTAGGAGTAGTAAAATGCAAGATCAAAGCAAGAGAAATATTCTATTGGCCAGAAATGTCGAAAGAAATTGAAGATTTGGTACTGAATTGTCAAACACGTTTAAGTTTATAAAAAGCTAATACTAAAGAACAAATGATATCTAAAG